ACGTGGGAAGAGAGAGCCACAACATCACCACCACCACTAAAAACCATTGATTAAGCGCGTCATAATGCAACACTCTGGCTAAAATAACTTGAGGCTTATGGGATGGTCTTTGCACCATTCTAGCATTTAAAAACACCAATTCTGGCACTCGAGTGGCATGGAGAAAAGCAGGCAGGCAGAAGTCTGGCACCATGAAGGAGACCCCTCCAGTGCTTTCCTGGGCTCTGGAGGGCAGCAGCTCTGTGGCTGCCGAGCCCTGACCACAGGAGAGTGGAGGAAGTTGCCTGCTTCAGTGGTGGGGACAATGTAGAGTCCTTGGGAGGAAAATCATGAAAGACTGAGTCCAAAAAAGGGACTCAGCAAGTTAGGGGAAGAGGCAGCAAATATATCCTGAGGATACTGTAAGAGGAGGGGTGGATCTGAATGAATGAGTCCTCCGAAAGCCAGGACGAAAAGTGCAGGCCCAACTTAGAGGACAGAATGTCACCTGTGGTGTGTGTGACTGTGGCAGCTAAGTGTGTCTGCATGTGTGTGCGCACGTGGTATCAGCTATTGAAGATCTGAGGTTTGAATACGTGGGAAGGTAGAGGGTGAAGAAATAGTAATTCTAATGTAAATACAAGGCTTAGGATCTGAGAGACCTTTACAGATAATCTGCAGGGAGCTGGGAGGTGAGATGTAGTTAGCAATAACTTACTCTGGCATCCTCCCACAGGGACTGTGAAAATTAATTAACCTTCACAAAGTGTTTTGCACACTGAGAATTAAGGTACCACACTAGAGTAAAACTTGAATACTCAATTCCACTGGGGTTCCAGCTAATAACACACAGGCCAAGACCTTTCTGCTATAAAATATTGCTTGGTCAAAATATTTTTTCTTCTTCTCTCTCTCCTTGGCCTCCTTTTAGGAACAAAATCTGTTAGGATTTCAAAGGGTCTCAGAAAGTCATCTGGTCAACCCTCTAGCTTTGTGTTAAACACATTCCAGGAAAAAAGTAGCTTCTTTCTTTCCTAAATAAAGGTGCAGTCTTGACCTTGGACAGGACGAATGGTATTTCTTTACACTTTAGATGAATTGCAGGAGCTAAAACTCAAGGTACTGCTTCAAAATCAGTCAGTGACCTTGGAGAGCGATCATTGCAATTCCAGGTGTTTCTGGGCAGGCGGGGAGCTCTGATCCACATGTCTCCTGGTTTGAAAAGCCTGGTGAAAGGCCAAAGTGCAAAGAGAAGACTCTCCTCTACCTGGGGAAGATGGAGCATGTAGAAAGTGCTCCCAACCCCTTTGTTTTGCATGTGAAGAAAGCAAGAGGTCAAAGTGTAGTGACTGTCTATGGCCCCTCAGGTTCTGAGAACAGAGGGGAACCTGCACCTCAATTCCCAGCCCATATTCCACCCACTACACTGCACAGCCCAAGCACCCTGAGGTTTAAAACAGACAAGTCCACACGTTTGTATTCAGGATCGGTAATGATCCAAATCCATCTGCAGTCTGCCAGTTCTAGTGGGGGGACACCATCATAGCAAGAAATGGGATTGTACTGCCTGAACTACGTGGGCTGGAGAGGCCAAGGTCATGGGAGGGGCATGGCTCCCTTACTCACATCTCCCCACACACATGATCAGACCCTGGACCAGAAAAGTCTCAGCCAGTCTGCTATTTGCCAGAAAAGAAAATGGAAGCAATTTCAGTCTCTGCTGGCTTTGTGGTTGGGAGAAGGTACAGAGGAACTCAGACTCAGCACCGCCCCCTGCCACCTTCTTCAAGCAACTGCAATCTCCCAACAGCAAGGAGATGCTTTGACTAGAAAAATCCTGTTTAGGGTTTTCTTGTTGCCCTGCAATCAGGGCAGTTTCTCTAATTGCCTGTCTATCTCTGTCTCTTTTATTGTCTCTGTGTCTCTCTCAGAGCTGCACACACGCATGTACATCACTCACAGCAGCACACTCACACATGGCTAAAATAAAGGAAAACCTAAGAGTTTGTAGAAAATTCTGCGAAGGTTGTGAAATTGCCAATTGGATTTTCAAGATGGATGGGTTCCCTCTAATAAGATTCTGCCCCTTGTATAAACCAACCTTGCAGCTTCATCCCATCCTAGAAAGCGAGCCATTTTTCGTTAGTCAGGTTTACAAATCATGCACACCGTGACCTCAGAGCAGACTGTCCTCACCTTTCGCGCTGCTCTCAGGGCAATGTTAACAGCATGTTTCCTCCCAGATAATAACACCCCAATAGAAAACATGTGTTGGGTTAAGCCACATCATCTGAGCCTTCACCGAGAACATCTTACTTTCACCCTAGAAACAGGACTGAAATTACAGACTGGAAGGGCACCCTGGGGTGTACCTTTGGCAGACTGAGATATTCTGGAAGAAAACCCCAGACAATATTTCCAAAGTGTGGTCTGTGGCCACCTGGATCTGCACCCCCAGACCTGCTAAGAGGCACATTCCTGGGCCTCCTCCCTGAGACATTCAGATTTCGATTCTCTGAGTGGATGGTTGGTGGGGGGACCTAGGAATTTTCCCTTTTAATCATGATGTTTTGGTAATTCTGAAGTAAGCTGGCATTTGAGAACAACACAGCTTAGTTCTTTTACAGGCGCCTTGACAGAGCCACCTGCCATATATACCATATTTTATATGACACTTTATTTGCTCCCACCTGGAGGGAACGCCAAGGAAATGGAGACCCCTCTCCCCAAAGATCCCCATGTCGCTGTAGCTCTGCAACCCAGAGCAGCGATTCCTGGGCTCAGGATTCTGGGTGGCATAGGTGGGGCTGCCCATTAGGCTGGGGCACTTTCCTTCCCTGTCTGGACACCACCCCAGAGCACAGGAAAATGACTGTAGATAGAGGAGTCTGGATAGTGCTTGGGCAGGGGCGGCCATTTAAGACTCCCCCCAAGCTCCCAAGAAACTGCCCGAGGCCTGACTCAGTTAGACAAGGGACAACTGTGCAGATGAGGAGTGGATTCCAACGGGAGTGTTCCTGAGCGCTCAGTCTGCGTGTGGGTCACCCATGACACGGGACAGGCAGCCTGGGGTGCTCCCGTGGGGGGCAGAGCTACGGAGGATCCATCAGGCACTGGCAGAGCTCAGCCCCTGGTGGCCTTTGCTCTAGAAGGCACGTTTCTTCAAAGAGCTCAAAGCGCTCCCCACACGCTGCCCACTCTCTCCTTACCCCAGCCTCGGGTTAGATCCCGTAAAGAACCCACTCAGGTCCACTGATTGATCAGGTTCCAACTCAGGATGATTTATAAATGCAGCTTCGAGCTTCTGCCCCAGAGAGAGTGAAGTGGGTCCTCTTGGGTGGGGCCCTGGCCTCCCCCAGTGATGCTGGCTAAAGGACCAAAACCTCTGCTGCCTCCAGGTAGCCCCTTGTGCCGCTCCTGGAGAGCTCAAGCTTTTTTTTCCAGAAAAGGTACTTGGGGAGGATGCTTTCTGTAGCAAAGAGATTCCTGATTCTGACAGCCAGAGCTCTGATCCCCACTTCCTTGGAGAGGAGCGGCGGCATAGGGGACCTCACTCTGGAAGTCCAGTGGACACGGGGACTCCTATGTTTGACCGTGTCCTCCCCCTCACCCCACAGCTGTGGCTACCATCCCTGGACATACAACAACCACTGAACCCGGGATCCCAGCTCACACCTCGGGCTTCCTCAGCCTCTGCCTAAGGGACAAGGGGTGGGGGGCAGTGAGTGCCCCAGACTTGCCTCCTGCCCTTAGCCTCAATGTGAGATTAAAGAAGGGAAATCTACAGCAGTGACATAAGGCAAGTTCCATTATTCCTGACAGTGTTTCTCAAGCCTACCAAGAGGCCCCTCAAACACTCAACCTTGTCGTACCCGCCTCCCTCCCAGAACCTGGAGGTGAATGGAAGAGGAAACTGGGGGGTGGGGGGCGGGGGGCTTGCTCACTCAGCAAAACTGTAACCCTGAGGGGCACCACCAGACCTGGGGCGCTGGGGCAGGACATTCCCTCCTGCCTGACCAGGCGAGGTCGGACTGCCCTGAGATCACGACCCCTCTCCCCGGCTCTCCCTGTGAGAGAAGGAATCGAGGTGTGTGGCTTGGTACAGGAGGCGGAAGCAGCAGAGGCCACTGCTGCCAGCGGCGATGCTGGCAAGTGTTTCAACACGGGAATTTTCCGGAAGACTTTTTGGTGGTATTTTTATGGGTATAAGCTCTGCCTCCTCAGTGTGATCATAAACCCCTCACAGACGGGTGCTTGGTGTTCTATTAGCCTAGCTGAGAGCCTGGCGCCGAGGAAGTGCTCATTAAATGTGCTCCCGGTGACTGCGGCTCGCAGCCCGGTGCCAGCCCTGGCGGGACATGTGGCAGCAAACCAAGCTCTCGTGGCACTCTGGAGCAGGTCTGCTTTCCCAGGTGGAGCTGAAGTGTAGACTTTGTACAGAAAACTCAGCTTATGGGGGAGCCTGGGGGACGGGTAGTTTCAGGAGGCCCCACACGACCTCCAGCCCCCTCCCTCCAACAACCCAAGCCAGCAAACTCATCTCCTAGAAGACGTCCCAGAATCACCGAACCCCACCGAGTCATCTGTGTCGAGTCTCATTTAAACAGTCCACATCCTGCGGGGTTTCCACCTACTTATTTGACTTCTGAGCTGCGAGGCCTCTTCCAGGCCATCTGGTCTGGCCACATATTACTCAGAAACAGATGTGACCAAATGTTTTTTTTTTTTCTTTGATAGAAGAGAATAAAAGAGACCCTAATAGAAAATGCCAGAGCTGTTCACTTATAAGAGAGGAGAGCACCTTTTCGTGAATCTTTCTTCACTTACACATTTAAGTGTGTAAGTGAAGCATTTCTTCCATTGAGTCACAATCATGAACAACTTATCTTTGATGACAACCACAGGGCCTAGCCCCCTCTGGTTGGCTTGGAGGCATTGCAGGACATAAGACAGACAGGAAAGCTTGCTCTGGATCTGCTTTTCACATGTATGTACAGGGAGCATGGGAGATGGGTACCCACTTTCTCAGGGCGCACTCCAGTTCGTTCTTTTCCTCGTGAGCTTCTTGGAGCTGGGAGAAGATTCTGGACAGGAAATCCTCGAAGTTGGACAGCAAGTGAGGCTCGTCCTTCTTCAGCTGCAGCCAGAGTTGCTTGACATCACTTTCACTGCAAGAGAAAGAAAGACATTGATGTGAGTGTGGAAATGAGGTTTCTGGGGAATGCAGAGATACCCAGATGTGGAACTGAGGGCACCACTGCAACAATGAAGACAGGGGATAACATTTATTGAGCACCTGCTATTTGCTAGATACACCGTACCTGTTAGCTCACTTTCTCCTTGGGGTAACCTAGGAGGCAGGGTCTTCGACCCAGTTACAGATGAGGAAACAGAGGGAGAAAGGTGAAATAAGCTGTCTCGTGTCACTCAACTGGAAAATGATGAAGACGTGAGTTAGACTCATGGCTGTCTAGCTCCTGCACTGGCCTCTGTCACCACCACACGGGACGGCTCGGCAGTCCTGGCTGAGCTGGCCCTGAGCTTGCACAGCCATGTGCTGGGTGCAGCTGAGGATGCCAGGAAGAAGTCGGGAGGATGGGAGCTTGATGCATGTGAGGACAAAGGAGAGGGCTGGTCGCCCCAGGAAGGATGCTCCTCACAGCTGAGAGGTAAAGACTTGCCATCTGATGGATGGCAGAAAGCACCCATCACTGCGGGGAATGGAGGAGAATATGCAGCGTCCTGCTGTGGCCTGGGGGCACTGGAATCACTGACAGGCCAATGGAAAGGAAAGAACGGTCTAAAAGATGTGTGTACACAAGGGAAGACAAATAGTCAGGAGGAACAGAGGCGGCAGAGAGACAAAGACACAGTGACATGCCCAGTACCCCCCACCCACCTGCCCTAAAACAGGCACACCGAGCTCGTGTGTGGCACAGCCCAGAGACACACAGGGGCATGCTGATCAGCAAGGGGAGGAATAGGGAGGCCCATGCCGAGGACTCTGTTCTCCCTTTCCAGAGAAACTCAGCAATTACAGCCAATGAGCAAACTGAACCACAGAGCAATCTGATTTTTACCCCGTTAAATGCTACAAATCTATGATTTGAGGGTAGCTATGACCAGGAACCCTCAGAATAAAGAAAAATTTCTTTGAGATTGTATAACAAGTACCATATTTGAGAAACCTTCCTCAGAAGGGATGCTTGATAGCCCCATGTCAACTTTATTTTTTTAAAGATTTATTTATTTATGCATACAAGAACTGGGGTACAGGCCACAGGTATGCAGGGTGAGAGGATTCACCAGAGACAGAGTGGGGAATAGAACAGGCAAACTGATAAAATACACTGCTGAGGGGAGCAGCAGGGGAGACAGGAGAGGTCTGCTGCACCATGTGGGTTTCTCCCTGGCTGGGGATCGAACTCATGCTGCGGTGGCTATGGATAGCTTCATAGGTTGCATCTTAACCCCTTGCGCCACCAGGGAGGCCCACTCCATGTTAACATTATGCCTGGGACATTGCTCTCTGCACTCAGCAGAGGCCCTCTGAGAAATGAACCTACCTCTGGTTGGTTATCTGATCATCTATCTAATTATCCCTCCCTCCCTCTTCCTCCCTCATCCCATCCAAACATCTACCAACTCATCTAGACCATCCATCCATCCATCCACTCACCCACTCATCCATCCATCTGTCCATCCATCTGACTGTCTGTCCATCTGTCTACCCACGCACCCACTTATCCATCCATCCATCCATCCATCCATCCATCCATCCATCCATCCATCCATCTACTCATCCAACCATCTAGGCAACAAGTACATATATCTGTTGAAAACCTAGCACTGAGCTGGATAATGTGAGGGAATATGGGAAACAAAAGAAGGGGAAAAAGAGCTCCCTGTCTCCCAAGTGAGCTCCATTTCCCCCACACAGAACATGCAGTGGCTGTCTGCTGGGTACAACGAGGAGGGCACAGAGAATACAGAGAATAAATGGCCTCAGGGAGACGATGACCTCCCATCAGCATGGCAGGTTATTCCCCCCATGAATACAAATGCATATAAAATCAAGGTCCACTCTGCCAGACTAGTCTGCTGCTCACATCTGCCAGGTTCCTCTTAGAGCCTGCGGACAGCCAGTGGGCCAGCGCCCCAGTGAGACTTGCAGACCCACCTGCCCTTTGTCCTAGCTCCTTGAACCACTTAGTCATGGCCACATCACTGCACCCCAGATTTCTGGAGTAGGGACAAGTCTTCCCACCATGGATGGAAATAAGCAAGGGGCCATCGCTGCCAAATAACTTGGTCAATCAGACCACCCAGAGAGCTGAGAGCCAGATGTCAGCCCACAACTTCTGGGCCCCATGGATGCTACTCCTTCTGGAAGGATATAGGAGTTCAGGGACAAAAGGGTTTCTGGGAGGTCAATCAGGCACATCCTGCTTCCAGAACAGCCCACAAACCCCTTTGGTAGGTAAAGTCTTTAAAAAACCTCTGAACACTTCCCAGCATCCTTTCTTTCCTTGCAGGGATCTCCCACTTTGGGCCACTCCCTTCTCTTTTAACTTCAGTGGGGACAGAAGTTGCTGTTCACCATCTTCTGCACATCAGTGACCACCCTTAGCCCTTCCACCCCCTCCCTCAGAGTAATCTCTCCCCCAGAACACTCAGTTTTCATAGGCCATTGATGCTGGTTCTCCGTGAGACGTCTGGTGAACCTGCTAGGCTGCCAGGAAGGAGGCCATCCTGGAAGCACCGGTGGTGAGAGGCGCCATCCTCCATCACCACACCTGGCTCACCACACGGCCTCTCCTCCCCAGCTCTGGTCACTGAGCAGTCACTGTGCTCTGGCCTCTGTCCTTGGAGAAACTGAGGCAGATGTTTGCCTGAGGATCTTCCACCTGCACACACCCCACCCCCACGCCATGCTCAGCAGACCCACGCTCACACACCCCCTAACCCCAGCAAGGCCTGCTGCAGAGAGGCCGCCCCCAGGTGCTGGTGTCCTCCCACTTCCTGTCCAGAGCTGCCCAGGGCCTCTCTAGGCCTCTGCCTGCCCTTCCTTGCCTGGCACAGACTCTTGCCAGGCTTTCTCAACTCTGGCACAGTCCACCAAGTCGTTGGCTAAAAACCCTCCCAAACTACAGACACTTCCCCTGGCCTGCAGGCTGTGGGCAGGCCCCGCCCCCTCTTGCTTCCTCTTTGGCATTTTCCACCATGTCCCTCTCTCCCGGTCTGAGGACACATCCGCTCCCATGGTTAGGCCACTCCCACCAAACCCAAGATCTGGAGGCCCCAAAATGAAAGGGGAAAGCAATGGGGAGCAGGAGGGCTGGATGGTACTGCATGTTTTTTAGGTTACAGTCTGTTTCCCACCAGCTCCAGTATCACTTTTATTTTATTTTACTAGTTTGATTTACTTTAACATTTCAAATCATTTTAAATGTCAGAACTTATATCCACACCTCTTTATTCCCAAGCACTTTTCTCCAAAAAAGAGAGAGCAATGGAGTTTTTACGCTTTGTTTGACTTTGCAGCTGCATAGACTCGTCAGCTGAGTTACCAAGCAGACAAATGGCAGACCGGAAGAAGCTTCCTGAACAGCCTCGGTTTGGACCAAGGATACAACGTGCTCCTTTGTGGGGAGCACGACGTGGTGAACTGGGGCACACCATGGCAGAGGGCAGCAGGTGTGCCTGGCAGCCCTAGAGACCCAGGGTTGGCTCTAAAGAGGTAGAAATGCTGGTTAGCAGATGGAACAGGAAGCCTCAGGCAAAACCCTCTGGTGAGTGAGCCCCCCAGGGCCAGCTGGGCACTGCACTGTGCTAACACACTGACAGGACAGGGGAGAATGAAGGAAGAGCGCTTCATGTTTCTCAGGAGAAAAGGGCTGGAAAGCAGATGCAGACTCCCAAGGCCACGACCCACAGTCTCCACAAAGGACAGGCTGAACAGAGCGCGTCCCTGGCTGACAGCACAGAGCCTGGGCCTTGCACTGAGGGCTGCCCAGTGTTCATGGTGAATGGGGCAGGGGATGGCGGGACTCTTTAACTGGGGCTCATCCCCCAGATCCCTCATCCCCCCCACTGTCACCACTTACTCTTCCAAAACCTTCTGGGCGCCAAGTTTATCCATCAGCATCTGGAACTGAGCTTCCTCATCGCCGTCCATGGCATCCGCTCCCCCTCGGGACTGGTACACCTTCTCTTCCTGCACCTGGGCCTCCTGTTCACCCACCTCTCCCTGACTTGGCTGCTTCTGGCTGAAGAAGAAGTGACCTGGGGGTGCATAGCACAGGTGTGAGTTAGGCGATGCCCACCCAGGAGGAGCACTTGCTCAGTTTCAGGAATTGTTTGAGATTCATTTGAGTGAAATAGAAAGGAAACCCCATGTAGTAAAGATCCTCGGACACCATGCTCTGGGTTTTGTCTTCCCTGCTTCCATGAACTTCTGCCCTAGACGCTAAAACCTGGATGAAGCAGAATGCGTTGCAGCACTCATGGCCCCTCTATGGTTCTCAATTGCTTAAAGTTGGCTTAGAACCAACGATCTCCTTGTGGATGTCTTCTCCGAACAAGACATTCCAGCCTGGCTGCCCGACCCCCTGCTCTCATGCAGCAATCCTGCCTCCAGCACCGCTGTGCTTCACCTTGGCAAGTTACTTACCACTTTCCAGTGCACCTTCTCTGTCCTCATATTGCCTGTCTTAACAGTAACCTGTCTTATCCTTTCAAATCAATGAAAGGTCCCTGAAGGCCAGATAAGGCATCAGACACGTCTGAGTAAACTGCATGGCACTTGTATGAGGCAGATAGATGATAAAATGTGCCTGCTGAGTTTTCTGACCAGTGCCTGCTCCGACCACTGTCTGATCTGAGGGTGCATCTGATTTCTTTAGCTTGTTTGTGAATTTCAGTCCTCCTTCCTTCTGGTTACCTGGGAAAGACTGGTCTATTCAAACCCTTCTAGAAACGCCTGATAGCCAATACCCTCAATTGGAGACTCCACCAGTCTCAGGCTGGAGGGAGCAGTGCAGTCACCCTACTTCGGTGTCAAGGAGGAAATGAGAGGCTGAAATCTCACCACAGCACCTCGTTCACACCAGGGCCTCCACCAGACCTTCCCTTCACCCCCCTGGCCGTTCTCAGGCAAGAGGAGCTTGGCAGTGAGGGTGTGGTGGGCACTGAGACAGTGGTGCAGAGGGCAGCATGCAGACAGGTAAAAAGAGGTCCCAGTGACCCAGAGTCTGGGAACTTCAGGAGCTCAGAAAAGCTTGTGAACCCCCAGCTCAGGCAGTGCAGCAGTCAGCAGAGCGATACCTGGGGTCCCAGCACCCGTCAGAACTTACTAAACCCGGTGGTGAACTCTTCTGGGGTCAGAAAACCATTGCCATCAGCATCCAGGGCATCAAACACATCCTCCAGATCCTCCAGGCTGAGTGGCAGCTCCTGGTGCAGCCTCTGAAAACAACAAGAGGGTGCCAGTTAACACTTTGATGACTGGGGGTTACCCTGGGCTTGACAACTGGGGGTGGGGCTGCCCTGGGGACACAGAGCCTTGTACCAAAAAATGTCTAGAGTTTGTCCCATTGAACAAAAGCCATAAGCAAACTTATGAAGATCACTTTGTCATCTTTCTCCTACTGTGTTTTCTGGAATGTCTACACTTGCAGGGTGCCTGCTAGGGTAGGCAATTTGTTAAATGATTTCGAAATAAGTATATAAATGTGGATCTATTTATTAATATCATTTCTATTGACAAACATGAACATTTGAATTTCATTCTCAAGACACTCCTTTGAGGTGTGCCTTATTATCCCCATTTTACAGATGAAGCATGAGGTTCAAGGGCCTGACCCAAGGTCAACCAGCCAATGAATGACATTGCCAGCAGTCCCACCCCTGTGGGTGCTCATCATAACTACAAAAGATGGAAACTGTAGGACTGAATCCTAGTGCCCACACGTCATGGGGTTGTAATGTTAAATGAGCACTTGTGTCACAGCGTCTGGCATACAGCAAGCATTCAGTAGAAAGCAGTGGGAAGAGAGGGACACACACACACACACACACACACACACACACACACGCATGCATGCAATGACCCACCCGTCTCTCCTGCTCTGCCCAAGCCCCTTTCCGCCTGCCAGGAGCTGCCGGCGTGGGTCGCGCCCTCAAAGCCTACCCAGATGGAGGACCGTCAGGTCTCTGGGCCCCAGCATCACATTTACAAATTTCTATGAACATGTATTTTGGTCCTTTCATCTGAGAGGCTGTTGTATAAGCCCCTTTTTCCCTCTGAGTGACCCACCCCCTGGCACTCCAGTCTCATACTACTCTTGCTCCTTGCTGGCTCTCCACTAATTTCTGAGAGGATGCCAGCGGCCATTGGATTAAGGTATTGATTCCTCAACAGCATTTGTGTTTAGGGCCAGACTGGTGTTGCAAGGAGTGAAGATGCAACCGATGAAGCTGTCCGCAGACACTGCAGCACGAGTTCGATCCCTGTCCAGGGAGATACCCACATGGCGCAGCAGACCTCTCCTGACTCGCCCACTGCTCCCCTTAGCAGTGGGTTTCAGTGAATCTGCCTGTTGACTGGTGAATCCTCTCACACACCCCCCAACACACCTCTGGTCTGTATCCCAGTTCTTGTATGCATAAATAAATAAATCTTAAAAAAAAAAAAGTATTTGTGTTTAGAGTGGACTGGACAAGACGTCGTGAAGAGGTCATAAATCAATGGTGGATGTGAGTCCTGGCTGACCAGGGCCACATAAGGGTGGAGGGGCAGGACACACCGCGGGGATGAGGACAAGCGGCTGAGTTGTCAGTGCTTCCCTCCTGCCTTGTGCCTGACGTGCGGCAGCCCCAGGCCGAAGCCAATTTGCATAGATGAAGCAAGTGTCCTCTTATACCCTAATAATCTGAGTCTCCAAATGAGGATTCCTCAAGGGAGTTCATTACATCCCAGCTGACCCTCCCCACTTCTCCCAGTCTCCCAAAGGACAGCTGCAGACATTTGCCAGGGTGGAAGTGACAGACAGCTAAAGTCAGTGAACAGGGGGCGGAAGGGAAAAACATATAAACCCATGTGAGCAATAAAGAAGAACTGGCAGGTGTGAAAGCCCATAACATAACTTGCAGGAATACTTGGCTGGATCCTAAAGCTAATCTCCTAGCTGATAAGACATAAAGTTTAATTTGGCAGGTACGTGCATTAAGGGAACTGTGATGCATTACAAAGTGGGAAGATAGGATGATGTGGAAGCCATTTAAAAGAACTGAATTAAACATGAATGAGGGCTTTTTTTTAAGGATGGGGAGTGAGTGTGTGCAAAGATTCTAGAAGTGCATCTGCTTAGCATACAGCAGAATCTCTGGCTTAGGGACAATCCATAAACCAGCTGTCTCAAAAATCACAATATGACAATGTGGGTTGGGGACCGAGTCAATTTTGTAACTATCTGAAACAAAAGACATTCCATTGGAGGTTGGAGAAATCTGAGTTCCCATCCTACCAGTCCTTGGGATAATATTTCCTCCCTCCCCACCCTCACCCTAGGATTGCTGGATCTCATCTGAAAGGTAACTTCTCAGCCACCTTTCCCGTTAGAGCTACAAGTAAGGTAGAAGGAAACTACAGAGGGCAGCGGGACCCTCAATTTGATGTTTACCTTGCCAGTGGGATCCAGGAAAGCTACTGCATACCCCAACTTAGGCTACGTCCCTGAATCTACACCCCGACTCTAAATCCTTTTATTATCTGTTATCCCAGCCCTTCTTGTCTGCAGCTAGAGTCAGTTCCCACTTTCTGTTGTCAGTGATGATAGGAAAACAATAGTATATCCTTCAAGTAATTTTTATTCTTCACGTCTTGGCAAATGCATCTTAAGCCTTCTCTGCAAACTGCCCCATGCCAGATTCTAAAAACTTCCTACTGACCCTACTTGAAAAATCTTTTATTCTGAACCATAACGACCTCTTTTTTATGTTTCTTCTCAGCCTGCAGAGCATGCAAAACCAACTGATTCTGCTTTTGTCCCCTGGGCACCTGGTAATGCCTACATTTTTAACTAATTGAGGTGAGCAGGTGGAAGGGGACAAGATTATTCATTCCATGCCACAGATGGCACTGAAACTTGTTCAGGTCACAGTGGAGATCAGAGCCGGAGAAGGAAGCACTTTTCCATTCAGGGCTTCAGCTGGCATCTGAGGACTCTCAGACGTGTTCATTCTGGGATGCCCCCACCGAACCCCCAAGGTCTCTCTTGCCAGCCCCCCAAGTGTTAGGCTTCCAGAGGTGCAGTTTCACTTCCTTGCCCATCTGGAAGGGCAGGCAAGGAAAGAGAGAACTGAGCAGAAGTCAGCTCGCCTGTTCCTTCTCCCCACTAGCCAGCTCTTTAGGACAATGAGTTTCCTTTACACACCAGCCTCTTCCCCCAGCTTTACTTTCTGCTCCAGAACCCCTTCCTCAGCAAGCCTCTGCATCTCCCCAGGTTAGGCCAGGCTACACAGGCGCCCTGAAATACATTTATCTCAGTCATAAGTCCTATCTCAGTTTGCAATTTACATACAATTGATACATGTGACTGGGTGACTGTCTGCCTCTTCACTGGAACCGGAGCTCTGAGAGCAGGGACCCTATTCATTCTTATTGTGTCCCCAGGATCTAGCCCAATGTAGAGACACATGCAGTGTTTAGATTAATGCTGAATGAATGAGTGAAGAAATGAGTGCACATGAATCATCACAGGGAGCCTGTACCCCATCAGGGGAGCCCTGGTCTGGACCCCACACCCTGCAGATACAGACCAGCTTTGCTGCTGCTTATGCTCAGCAAGGTCCTATGAGCTGGGCATTTGCCAGAACCTGGATCAGGAAGACATCCTGCAGCAGCAGTGCTGAGGACTCGGGCACCAGAAACATAGAAAAACGATACCTCTGCTGCTTGCTGCTCTGAGGGCAGACCCCTTCCTTCCTGGTCACCAACTCGGTGACATGTTTCCTGCAGCTTAAAGCTGCAGCAAGGTGCACAGCTTCAAACACATCTACGTGAAATTAATTAAACAGGAATCAGAAAGAGAACCATCCTGAGGCCCAGATTTAAGTCTCCTCCCATTAGAACTGCCTCGGGGTCCCGTTCAAACCTCTGTCCCAGTACCAACTCTCTTCCCTGCGGGAGGCCCAGTCATGCCCAGTGTCTTCAGGATGAGAACATGAGATCGGGGAGGTGGGATCTACCTTTACTTGGCCTTGATTGCTTGTTTCAGGCTGATTGTTTGGTGTAGACTCAAGTTTCTCAATTGCTGCATTGACATCTAGAATGGTCAGTTCTTTATGGGGGAGAGCCGCCTGGTGCATTATAGGATACTTAGCAGCATCCCGGGCGTGAGGTCCAAGGAGACTGAGGAGGGATGTAGTGGAGCTGGCATGTCGGGACTTGATATCTCGGCTTCATGCCAAGTCCTATGCAAGTGATTGTTGGCACAATGTACACCTTACAGTTTCAGCTCAACATGCCCCTTCTCCCCGTCACTGGAGAGTGGGGCCATGAGGGTGGTTGGGACACACGCAGCAAAGCTATGAGTGACCATAGGAGTGTAGCCCAGTGTTGACCCACCATAAGTGCAAATTCCCTTTTCTTTCTTTCTCAACAGGATAATCAGGAGTTCAGCATGCCCTTGAAGCCACCACTGCGACCCAGGAGCGACAATGACCGAGTTCACAGACAGGGCTTCTTCAAAGCTTTCCTCAGGACACGCTCAGCCTGGCTTCCACGCTGAGAGGGACTTGGGAGTGAGTTCCAGTGACAGAAAAATCTTGGGGGTCAATTACTGAAAACAGAGGAGACCTGAGCTCACCCAGGCCTTTTTCCTCAACTTGTGCAACTACCAGACACAGAATTACTGTGGGGAAAGCCTGAACTGTCCCCCGATCAGGGCTGGGGAGAGAAACAGGCGTCACCTTCCATCCAGGTACAAGTCCTAGCTCTCCAGCTACATGCTGAGAGCAAGGCTGGGGCTGACACATGAGGCCTTCATTTCATTGTCTAACTTTAGGATACTTGGAAAAACTAGATCTAAAAAAGAAAACCTCACCATTGGAGGTGAGGTGAGCTCCTAATAGCACAGCTATTGACAGTGAGTGGTGAAAGGGTCTGGGGAAAGAGGTGCTTTGACAATGCTGGCATGGATCAGCATTTTATTTACTCACATCTGGGGGAATCCTGACCACAACATGTGAGACTTAAATAAGACACTGCGAAGAACTTCCGGACACGAACAGGGTAAGACCCCCCCACACACACCAAAAATCAGGCTCATCCCCTGTTTCTATATGGCCAGTGAGCGAAGAATGATTGGGAAAAAATCAAAAGAAAATATATGATGATCTATGAAAATGATACAAACTTCAAATGTCAGTGTCAATAAATAGTCTTAGTGAAACAGTCTTATCTGTTTGCCTATTATGTAAGGCTGATTTTGTCTAATAACAGAGTTAAATAGTCATAATAGGGATGCGTGGCCCCAAAGCCTAAAATGTATTCTCTGGCCCTTTACAGAAAAAGTGGTGGGCACTGAGTTGGCAGTATCTGTCCTGGACACACCAAGGAGGGCGTCAGTGTGGCTGGATTCAGAGAGGAGCTTACAGGTGAGGCAAGTTCCAGAAATGCCATCCTCCCTGGTCGCTGCAGCTGACACTGCCTGTCCCCAAGGCACATAGCCCGCAGAATTGTCTTTGGCATTGAAGGTTCTGCACATCTTCCTTGAGTCCCTTATGCTGCTATCACCAGCTTCCACACTCCTGGGGAGTGACTGAGTCAGAGAGAGGAAATACCGCCCCACCAAGTCTGCCCACGGGTAAAGACCAGAAAAGGAATGAATAAGGAGATCTGTGTTTGGGCTGATACCGCTGTCCAGGGCTGGTGACGGCATCTTTTCTATTCAAGATTCTACCTCCAGATGGACAAGCCCTCAGGCAAGTTGGGGCCCATGCCTTTGGGCACTCCAGGCAGGCAGGCCCCTGGGGGGCTCCTCTTACCTGCATGTCGCTCCTGGCCATGAAGCCTTTGCCCTCGGTGTCACAGGTGCGGAAGAACTCCTGTGCCTTCCTGAGCACAGCCAGCTCTTCAGGTGCCAGCTCCTGGGTCTCCATTCTCTCCATGCTGCAGCTTCCGCTCCCCTTCTGCCCCCGGGGTCTGGCGACCCCTCTCCTGGGAAGAGTCGCCATGCAGATTTGTCGATTTCTTCAAGTCTTCTTACAACCTGAAAGTGGAAAAAGAGAGAGGTGGGTGTGGTGGGGATGGAGTGAGGCTGGAAGAGAGTGAGAGGGGTGAGAGGGAAGCACAGAGCCCCACCAGTGCACCCACATCTCTTAGCAACCACCCCTTTTTTTTTTACTTTTTTAAAATTTTATTTTTTATACATTTTTACATCATTTTTCATTTTTGCACAATGTATGCATTTTCATCTTGGTTATAGTCCCCATACAATTGCACCCCCCTTATTTTGACCCTAATCTCTCCTCCCCTCCCCACTAGTGAGTTTCTGGTTTATAGTTGTTTGTTGATTTTGATTTTTACTTTGTATTCATTAGTCTTTTTCCTGGTCCCTTTTTTAGGTTTTCTGAATTCCTGCTATGAGTGAGACCATTCCGGATTTTTCTTTTTCTTTCTGGCTTATTTTGCTAAGCATGATCCCTTCCAGCTCCATCCATATTGCTGCAAATGGCAAGAGGTTATCTTTTTTGATTGCCGAGCAATATTCCATTGTGTATATGTACCACATCTTCTTGATCCAGTAATATACCACCTCTTAATGAGCAGAAGCTCTGGACAAGGGGAAATGTGCCACGATCGCTGATAGATCTGTCAACCCGTCAAAGAGAGAAGAGAGGGGAAAAGAAAACAGATATTTCCAGACTGAAAACAATCCCTCCTGACTGAAATAAACAACAACAGGACAGATCCTGGTAGACCAACTTCCATTAACTGAGTGTTTACTTGGAGGCAGGCACCAAGTCATGGTCTTCATATGCTCTGAAACAGTTATGCTCAATCTCCATTTTATTGAAACTCAGGGAGGTTGAATGACTTGACAAAGGCCACAGAGTGGTGAATGCAAAAGTTGAGATTTAAAAAAAAAAAAGTTGAGATTTAAATGCACGATCAAGTTGAGATTTTTTTATTTTATTTTATTTTAATAACTAAATTTTATTTTATTTTATTTGTTTTGCATTCTTGTTAATTTTTGACAGTACAGGATCAAGTGGAGATTTGTTTTATATATATATATATATATATATATATATTTATACTGCTGTTCATTTTTGTACAATGTTTGCTTTCTCCTTGCTCGGCATGGCCAAGGGCAGAGCACTCTGCTCATGGAGGTGCACTCTCCCCTGCAGCAATCACAGTCAGCACATTCCGGGTGAGCTCTGGCCCCCTGCTCTACTCTGCGGGACTGTGGGCTCTGCAGCTCACAACTGGGTGCTAGACTTGCCAGGCCTGGTTGGGTGCACCCAGGCTGTCTTCAGCCAACACAGTATCACAGATCATACACCCCAATCAGATTCTTCAAGCCCCCTGAGGAGTTTTCTCAGGATGGAAGGTGATGGAAGAAGACAGACACCTGCCAGGCTCCACTGCCACTTAAGTGACCACAAACAAGTCAACAGCTGACTGGGCCTCTGTCTCCTCTGTATAATGAAAACTGGGACCTAGCTACTTTGCAATCCCTTCTAGCTCTGACAATCTGCAAGTCTGTAAGATTTCAACATAGTAAAATAGTAATAATGAAAAATCAGGTTAATTGTGATAAAATAACTTATTGATGGCCTCGGGTATTTTTTCCATCTGAAGATTTTTAGAATGCTTATCCCACATCCAAATTTTAAGACATGATAATATTTGGATTTTAAAATACAGATAGGCACCGCAATGCATTTCATGGGGAACTGGAGACAGCAAAGTCCTAAATCAAATCGCCTGTGTGCATAGTCAGAAAAAAGGGAAGAAATCACTGTATCACAGGGGGGTTCTCTGATTATCACAGCTTGGGCCTCTGGCTCAGCTACACCATTATTCCAAAGCAATCCATACCTGTAACTAACATCCTCCACCCAACATATTGGTCAAGAGCTGTGAGCCCAGAGCTAGAGGCTGCCTCTGCCCTCAGGACTAAGTCTGTGTAATTCAGCCTGGGCAAGGCTCAGCGGCTGCACCTTATCATTCCTCTTGGGCTGGACAAGGAGCTCCACCCTGACTCCTTCAACCAGCCCCTCAATGGGAAATGGACTTTCTGTTCATCCCTACATGGTGTAAACTGGCTTCCCCTAAATCATAGTCATATTTAATATTTTTATTCTGTCTTCCCCAGAGGGAGTGGCCTTGGCCGTAAATCCCGAGAAGAGAGGACTCCACGTGTTCATGTTCATGGCCAGGCACAGCCATGTGTGATGCTGAGCTTGTGAAGGGTTTAGGATAAAGTTGAGGCCATATCTGAGGTCCCATAAATGCACACATGAGCAAAACGCCTGTGGTCTTCCTGTTACCTGGCCAGGATGTCTGCAAGGTCGCTGCCACCTGCCAGGTCCTCCTTCATTCCTACTTGGTGTCTCCAGGACACTAGATAGATAATACCTGCCATTCCTTAAGGGTTTTCTCTTGCCAGGTGTCTTGCTAACATCCTTCATCTTATTGAACCCCAGCATCCCCATCATACAGGGAAACTGAGCTTGGAGAGGTTAAGTAACTCAGATCAAAGTGTGGTGAGTTAGGGATGGTGTGTACTACCCTAGATGGCCTCCCCATCATGGGACCACCTGGGGGCTCGCTCTTAACAGTTGTCTACTCACCCCTAGCTGATAATTTAAGTCACACCCTTCATTTTGTTATCCATTCGTTGTCGCCTGTTACCAGGTAGCAGTTTCTGATCTAACACTGAGAAATGGAAGCATGAATAAGCCAGAGTAATGCCTGGGCCTCCCTGGTGGCACAAGGGGTTAGGCCTCAGCACTGTGAAGCTATCAGCAGCCACCACAGCCAGAGTTCGATCCCCAGCCAGGGAGCTGATCCACATGGCATAGCAGACCTCTCCTGTCTCACCCGCTGCTCCCCTCAGCAGTGTATTTCAGTGAATCCTCATGTTCTGCTCCCCACTCTGTCTCTGGTGAATCCTCTCATCCTCCCCCACCCCCTGCATTTCTGGCCTGCACCCCAGCACTTGTGTGTATAAATAAATAAATCTTTATAAAAATAAAGGCAGATTATGCTTGCCCTTACTGCATTTCAGTCATGCTGACTAGCAGTAGTGGAAAGTATTTTGGGGAGGTGGCCTCCTCCTTACCCTTAAAATAGACTACATAATAATCAACTACTACTGACTAGTTGTGTGAGCTTAAGTGAGTACCTGAGCTACCCTGGGAGCAGGAATTAGCAACGATGTACTCTCAGTGCAGCTCTGACTTGATCTGGCTCTCTGCCTTCTCTGGCCCACATCACAGGTGATGCTTGGCGTCAAGAGCCAATCTGATAGTTCTAAAGAAGCCAGCAATGAGCGACTGCTAGCCAGGTGCCAGTCGTGCTTGGTTTTAACCCCAGCTCCTAGCCCAGAGTATGGCATATGGTACAGGATCTACCTGGCTGGTTGTTGAATGAAGAAAGACAATCCTTGGCTGTGTTCTTTATGGGGAGTTGAAACTCAGGCAATCCTGTATTTGGGCTTTTTATCTCACAAAGATTAAGTCCAGATTTCTATTTCTAAAAAAGATGGCATGACAGGACTGTGTTAACGACCCAGTTGAAATAACAAAATCCAGACAAAATATATTTTAAAACTGGTTTCCAAGACATTGGACATTGGGCAATGAAGGACAGTGATCCTTCACCAGGGCTAAGCCTAAGGTGAAATGAGCGAAGCCCCTAACGAGCAAAATTGAGGGACACATGCTCAGGGCCTGACCCCACACCTGCACAGCTGTGAGAGCAAGGGTCTTCCTAAGAGCCTGTGCAAGGGTACAAAATGTGGAGAGGAATCCACTCTCAAAACTGTGCATCTGAGAATGATTACCTTCTTAAATTTTGCACCTTCAGGGCCACCTACATTCACCTTACTCTAAGTCTGAGAGATGGGAAACAAGAAAAATGAGCCCCATTGTTGCCTGAAGAATTTTTAAGTCATGGCACAAACAGGAGAAATCAAAGTGGAGCCTGGCAGACTCCCCAAGTTAAGGAAGCCCACAAGAAATGTACTTTAAACATAAAGACATGAATACATGGAAAGTAAAAAACTGGAATAAATATATCACATTAACATGAGTCACATTAACACAAGAGAAAACTGAACTTTAATGTCAGTCAGAGTAGATTCTAGAACAAAGAATATAATGGGGATAAAGAAAATCATTTCATAATGATAAAGATGTCATCAATAGAATATAATAATTCTAAATGCTTAAGAACAGTGCTTTACAATGTGTGAAGCAAGCCAATAAAACTGCAAGGAGAAATATACATTGATATTAAAAAATTTCCATATCCTTCTATTAATAATTAATAAAACCAGCAGACAGAAATCAGTAAGAATTACAGAAGACTGGAACACACTGCCAGCTGTCTTGATTGACTTAGCTAACATTTATAGGCCACTCCACCCAACAAAAGATGAACACCCCTTCTTTTCAAGTGCACGTGGAATATTTACCAAGACACTCCACATCCTGGTCCATAAAACAAGTTCCAATAAATGTAAAAGGATTCAAACCTTGCAAAATATGAACTCTGATCACACTGAAGTTATGTTAGAACCAATACCTGAAAGATCTCTGGAAAAGCCCCAAATCTGTGGAATCTATGCAACAAACTTCTGAATCACCCATGATTAAGGAAGACGTGAAAAGGGAAATTAAAAAGTGTTTTGAACTGAATGAAAACAAAAGCAAAGTCTATCAAATTGTGTAGCATATTGCTAATGTGGAGCTCAGGGAAAATTTTTTATAGCATTAAATACATGTTAGAAATCAACGACTTCAGTTCCTACCTTAAGAAACTAGAAAAATAAGAGCAAATTTTAAATATACGTAAGAAGATGAAATAATAAAGATCAGAGCAGAAATCAATGAGATACACAGTGATAGAGGAAAACAATAGGGATAATTAACAAAACTAAAAGATGGTCTTTGAAGAGCAATAGAGAAGACACAAATTGCATCAGTGTGAGAGGTGACACACTCACAAATTCAAAAACTTTAAAAGGTATT